TTGCTAATATTATTATGTATTATTTTCATTATTATTATTATTATTATTATTATTATTATTGTTATTATTATTATTATTATTATTAATTTTATTTATTTTCATTTATTACTATTATATTATTATATATTATAATTATTATTATTATCATTATTATTATTATTATTATTATTATTATTATTATTATTATTATTATTATTATTATTATTATTATTATATAATTTTATTGTTATTATTATTTATTATCATTATCATTATTAATTATCATCATCATTCATCATCATCATCATCATCATCATCACCATTAACAATTTTTCTTATTCTTAGTATTATCCAAATAACGATTCAAGAATATACATAGAAGTTGTAAAAATGAATAATTTAGTCCGCCCTGTTCGTAAAACCCACCAACGTTTTCTCTCTGGCATCTGTTTGTGACAACCTGCGCTAACTCTTACGATCAAAATATTGTCTTTGAACTATCGAAAATATAAACTTTCTGAGGAGGCTGTTAATGAAAATTCAAAGGAATAGAACAATAGATATATGTAGAATGATATGTTTGTGTATAACTGTATATGTCAAATTCGAATCAATAGGTATTCATATAAATAAAAAAAGTTTAATTGCAAAAATATTTTCAGTACATTTTGTATAGTGTTCAAACACTGTATAACAGATCATTCTTGTTTTCACTCACTCACTCACTCATGCTCTCTCTCTCTCTCTCTCTCTCTCTCTCTCTCTCTCTCTCTCTCTCTCTCTCTCTCTCTCTCTCTCTCTCTCTCTCTCTCTCTCTCTCTCTCTCTCTCTCTCTCTCTCTCTCTCTCGTTATTATCATACATACGAGGAATATATTGTAGATCCAGTAGACGAGAAATTCAAACAAATTGTGGAGAAAAGAAATGGAATGACGAAATAAGAACAAGGACATAGTAAGCTTAATCTAATGAGTCCTAAATTGCAAATTACTGTTTGGCATTTCTTTCTTTTTTCTTTTTCTTGGCGATTCTCAGGTGATAATTAGATTGTATTTTTTTCAAATATTGACGATCGTTTCTCTGTGGTATTCAATAAAATTTGATATTTCTTTTGTTGGTTTAAAAAGGACTACAGTTTCATAACAATAAATGGCGAAATAATTATTTACCCAAAAGGCAGATTCACACCCCATAGTTTTACATTTACGTCCGTGCAGAAACAGATGACGTCACACCTATCCGTTCTGTGTGCGTCAGAAGAAAACCGGGGAATATCTCTCATCTGCATATACGGTATACGGACCGGTTCTTCCGACTAAGTTAAGGCAGATATGATTCATAGCGAGAGCCTTGTTGCGAGATTTGGGAGTCCGAAAGACAAGAAAAATAAACTTGGCATTGGAATATTTGGATATATAATGAATGATGGATTTGAAGCAGTTTTTTGAAGATTCAACAAATTCACAGTCAGCTTGTAAACACTTGTTTGACGCTTCTGATAGTCTCAAACTGCCAAGACTATCCGTCGTCAACTCTGCCTTAGTTCAGATCCAAGGAGCAGCAAAAATGTCATTGTGTCACGTGCTCTTGTTTACATCCGGGCTCTGCGTCTCCCGAGTCGGATGCGGATCCTCACTCGTGACGTCATCAACGGGGGGTACGGACGTAAAAGATTGTTGCAAAACGGCCTATTGTGAACCTTTGCAACCTTCACTCGAAAGACGCTGATTATGAATTATTGTAATATATGTTCATTACGTCTTTATTCAAAACTGTTTAAATGGACGTTTTTATGGTTCTGTTGAGGGGAAAACGTGCACTTTCATGATTATAACAAAACAAGTTATAAATTACTGTTCAACGGAGCAATGAATTTCTAATTCAAGTAACGTGAAGCAAGTTTTAAAGGAAGGTTTGCTTAAGACAAAGACAGGCGTAATGTATTAATGGTGATAACACCAACAGTGATAATAAAGTAAAGATAATAATGATGATACTATTGATTATAACAACAACAATGACGACTGCAGTATCAACAATGGTGAATAAAAATGATAATAAAGATATTGATATAAACAAGAAAAAAGCATATTGAAAAAGTCGCATCAAAACCCAACATAGATAAACTGACTAGTAAATTCTACAGCAATTTGATATAAACAGAATATTGAAAAAGTCGCATCAAAACCACATTATTCATTACAATGCATATATGTGTCCATGACTTATGTGGTCAAATTGCTGTAGAATTTACTAGTCAGTTTATCTATGTTACGGTAATTTTATTTCTAATGTTTCTTACAGTTTGTGGCTACCCAAATGCTTCATTCATTCCAGTGATATGAAGTCTTTCGTTTGGGATATATGCATCGAGTAAGATCACATCTGATGAACTTCAGTCTATTCTGAATACAATCGGCTTCGTGAGCCTTCATGGACACCTCCTGACTGAACTGCTATGATTGTTCAGATGAAGTTTATTTGAAGTTCAATCCACGCCCGATATCCAGCCATTCTGTTCA